GACATGTTAATTAATTAATTATTTAAAATAATTACTTATCACTTTGATTTGATAAGTATTATCTGTATATCTTTACAGATACTACTGTCTGAGAGAACCTAGTGACCTGACTGTGGGCGGATACTGATAAGGCACAAAATATACAAAATGATTCATACTACAATAAGATAAACAGTTGTAATAAATACAACAAATAGAAAAATATACTATTATTATTATAAAAATTCTCTTTATATGTTAATATAACCCACAATTATTTAAAAATATAATCTCAAAGTTCCACTTATTTCTAAGTATAAAGATTATAAAGAAAGTATTACATACAGCCTTGTGTTTCTTATGCAATTCATCTGTATATTTTGATACATCTTTTATTAGTTCAGTGACCTTTTGGGCCATTTGCAAGTGCAAGCCTGCAAGTTTTTCTGCTGCACCTCTTAAGGCAGCCCAAACAGGTGCAAAAGTTCCTTGAGTACTACTGCTATTGCCAGCTTGCTTGGCCAGCTTACTCAGGACCTTGTAATTGTTCTCTTCTATGGTCGATCGTTCTTTTAGAAACTCAGCCAACTCCTTGCTTGCAACTGCACCATGCTTCATGTTATGATATAACACGTCAAATCCATTATTCTTTTCGCCCTTAAATTATAAAAAATTTATCTTTTACCCTAACTGAACCACCTTCAACCATTTTAATGCAATATTTTTTTTTTCATTCACACTGGCTTCTATTTTCTTAGATTTATTAACAAATATGTAAGACACACATTTCTCATAATTATTAAAATCAAGATTTTTATATCAAAGGAAAAGAAATTTCATGTGCAATTAGAATATCATGTCTGAAAGAGATATACTAAAACTATACTTGAGACCACTTAGCCACTTAACACTTGAACCCTGATCATGCTGTAAACTCACGTAGAGTAGGACTCTTGAGTGACATCGGTACAATAAGCTGTCATTACATATTATTACTCTTATCATCCTATTGTACATATTACTTGCCACTCATGACCCATAGTTTAATTTTTGCAAAGACTTTGTTAACGAAGAATAAGAAAAGTGTTTTAAGTGAAATCATTAGTAAAAACAATTTATAACTTAGAGCTTACACTTTTTGTAATACAATTTAAAAAAAAAATACAGCAAACTATGGAATATCAATAAACATTTTTTATTTTCATACATTTTTAAATGATACAGTAAGATATTTATTTTGTACAAATTTAATTATATATTATTCAAAGCATTAGCATTGCATGCTACACATAATAATCTCCAATAGATAGAACTTTAAGAGAAACCAAAGGAAGTAGTAGCTATCTTATCTGACCATGCTTCTGTCAGGAAGACAATGTCACGTCTTCCCAAAAATTCATAAAACTAACATCATTATAATAACTTCATGGGAAACGTGTAAATCTTTTTATTATTAAAATTCTTCTATGCAAAGGAAGGAACTTAAAAAATTGCAACAACCTGTTTACAAATGATGTCTTTCATTCAACAGATTTGTTATAATTGTATTCAAACAAATGTACCATACTTAAACTAACAAAACTTATAGTATACTAAAATATATAAAATAATACAATACGAAATATAAACCAATTAAAGTTAAAAGTACAACGAAAAGACAGAATTCACGAAGAAAGATATCTCAGGATTCTGCAACAAAGCCAGCAGTTCCACTCCCTTCTACACTTGAGCTCTAAACACATACGTAAAACGCAGTGCACATGTCAACGTGCAATTTAACACGCATTCTCTCGTACTTCAGTGATTTTCTACGTAGGTCGCGATGTGATGATACGAAGTTAGGATGACAGGGAGGTGAACGCAAGCGTAACCTTGCATTGGCAAAAAAAAGAGAGTAAAGACAAGCGTGCCGCGTAACATGGAGAAAAGGAGAGAGGAACAGAGATGACGATGATAAAGTCGAAGAAGGACAGAACGATAAATTTCATTGAGAGAAACGTGATGATATTTAACTGTAGGAAAAATGTTACGATGTCGTGACGTAGGTACGGTCACGAGAAGTTCGTTGAGAATTTCTGCTTGAGATGGAACGAAAACGAAAGGGAGAGAAGTTTTCTCTGTACATAACCTAAATCTCTACCGAGGATGACATTCTAGGACAAAAGTGTGAAGACACTCACCCAAAAGTAGTCGGCGAAATCCACAGTCATGTTGGAACCGCGATCAGACCATCATAATTTATCTTCTGATGTATCAGGCCGAACTGCACCGTTAATAACGAATCATTGACACACACATACATACACAGGGGGCTGCACGATACGATGTCCGAGCCGTAGCACGACAGATACGACGAGACGTAACTCAATTTACGACGAACTAACGTAACGTTTCGTGCTCGGACGTTTCGAGCTGAACAAGCGCGCTCGACCGCGGAGACACAGGTCAACTTATTCCAACTATCTCCGTTGCACGCCTCTCTTTCTCATTCTCTCCTTCTCGTAAACGATGTCTGTCGCCATCTTACCAGTCACAGCCAAAGACACCAAAACCAGAGATGGTCGGTAAAAAAACATTCTTTTTCATCACATTTTGTGCTGCGTGTTTTTATTAGAAAACCGCAAGATAATTTGCTGCGAAACGTTGATAATTATGCAACGAATGACAGGTGCAAGTTTTCTATCTTTTGCTTTCGTTTAAATACCATGGAACAATTACGTGTAACGTGCACGTTACTTTTAACGTTGTCGTTCACGCTATATGAAATATAATAACGATCTGAAAGTGTAACCTGAATTATAAAGACGCTTTAAGATACACTAGATTAATTTTTCAAGTGAAACAACGAATGTTAATAACGGAAAGTTTTTTTTAACGATCATAGAAACGTTAAGCACCGATCGCGTATACTTTCGATAACGGAACACCCGAACTCGACCAATATTTGCATTAAGCAAATAAATCCATCTCCTATTCCACATAATACACATTCATAGCATACCTAGTAGTTAAGTGATTTACCACTTTAGGCCAGCGGCGCTACTAAATGCCCAGGGCCGAGTACATTTTTGGTATCTAACAAACACATCCCCCACATATTTTTTCTCAGGTTTCATCGTTTTCGAATTGCAGATAATAACGTACAGCTCACAGTTCGCAACAACACGACCACGAAATTCTACCCAACGATTGGCCGGTACGTGACGACAAAAGAAAAACGAACGAGATAACAGGTTGTACGTGAATTTTGAAAATTCGAAAGGGGCGGTAGTTACGTGTAAGGTCGGAAGACGGGAGGAGGCGTGGCCTCGAATAATCAGCTCAGGGTAGTCCAGTGCCCTTGCGCATATCCAGTAGCTATATGTACACATGTACTATCGCTCACGTGTGTATCGTATATATCGAGAAGAGAGAGAGAAGTTTCGAGCCGTTATCAATCACTTTCGTCGCTGGACCGAAAAGGTGCATCTGTTCTCGGTGGCGGCGGTCGACAGGTAGAACGACCCAATTTTTTCTCCCGTGCGACCGAGGATAACCACGGCGATGCCCGCGAACAAGGGGAACCTGTCGACTCCACACAAAGAAAAGCCCGGAAATGGTTTGACCACGGGTGCCTCCAAAAAGAAGAAACGCTGCACCGTTAAGCATAAAAGACATTGCAAGCAATATCTGGTGAGTGAGCGAAACGAAACGTTAATTCATTGCGAACAGAACGGCCATGTTATGGTCGAGTCGAGTCGAGTGCGATACGAGAGAGCGTCTTTCGATATTCGCGATACATATTTCGTTTTACTTACGAGTCTCGATACTAGTCGCGTATGAATAATCGATACCTTAGATTAGACTGATTGATCGTGGTTTACACTTTGTTAACATTTCGCGTTTACGGATCGAAAAGACGAGTGTGAAGTTGCAAAGTGTCGTGAATTACAGGCAGAGTAGGTTATGTGGCGCGGATGTCTCGACAGTTGAAACACGTAGGGTTTGTTCACCTTTACTGATGCATGGTCGAAGTGTTATGGGTTGCAACGATCGATCGGTGCAAGCATGCTTCGGTGCCGGTCACGATGCAATTTTCATTTGAAGTTCCTCCTGTGATTTAATACGCTACCACGCCGAAACGACCGAATGATTTGCATATTTCTACGGCGTTCTCTCTACTTCTACGCGCGATATTCGGATTTTTCCCATCTATTCGGTATGCGATAAATTATTCATCCGATGGCAGTATTTGACAAACGCTTATCTCATACCGATCCGTCCTTCTCTTCGATTCTATCTATCTCGATTGATATCGATATCATTTTCTTTATCAACACGTTATTTCTTTTTTCCTCTCGTTTTTGTTTGCAATGTTTTTTTTTCTTTTCTAATACATCTCTTTGACAAAAAACTTAAAATTGCACGATGATACTTTTTTCCATTGACGTTCCTAAATACATCGAATCGATACGTACGCGATCAAATTTCCACGAAAGAAGAGAAGGACGATCGTTATTTTTATCCGCGTTTCCCGCAATCACAAGGGACTTTACACGATGTATTGCTCCGTGGGAATACATACATGGACGAACAATATATATATATACCGAACAGATAAAAAAAGAAAGCTCTACGTTTTATTTTTTTACGGGCCCTGCATTTGTATACCCCCCACCCTTATCCCAAGAACACAGTCTCGAGTAGATATGTAATTCCTAGCACCTGTACAATTGCTCCTTTACACGTTATACAAATTAGATACGTTTCAAGTTTGCGTGCTTCCATTTCTAACTATGTGTGTGTGTGTATATATGTGTGTGTATATATAGACACACACATACATACACGTATATATATAAAAACATAGAAGAAGTATAGAAGATGTTCTACAGCACACGAGAAAAAAGGAAGACACGAAATGGTTGAATTATTTCATCAGGCAAATTGAAAAGAACTCGTCGTGGAGAATTGGGGCTCGGGCAAAGGAAAAACCGTACGATTTCTCTCTCGCCAGTGGCCGAACGGTGTGTGTGTGTATATATAATACAGACTTATAGATAGGCCTCTGGCGTGTATTAGCAACTTAGGAAGCACGTATTGATTTCTAAGAATGCCAAGAAAAAGAGGTTGGTGCTGATTCGGCGAGAACAAAAGACGACACCAATTCCACTTCTGCAGTCCACTTGAACCACTTGCTATTATGTCTCGTAGGCGCACAAGTTGGCAAAGCCGTATTGGCTTACCTATGTGAAAAAATGAATCCGTCGGGGACACCTTATTCTTATATATTTTTTTTTCTCTTCTTAATTTCACCTAGAATCACGTTTTTATACATCAGTCAGCTGTTTTTTTTTTTTTTCGTTTTACCATTAAACGCGTTTCTGTATTTGACGCTTCGATCGTGATTGATAAGGAAACGGCGGGAACGGGGAAAAAGTATGGAAAATAGAAAAAAATGAACGAGGGAACGAAGAGAGAACGGAATTGTCGAAGCAACGAAAAATAAATTCACGACATATGGCGTGTGGTTCCCCCCACTCCTCCTTCCCCCACCTTTCTCTCTCTCTCTCTCTGCCTGCCTTTTCGTTCGTTTGACACCGACGCGTTGCTGCTGGATGCGAGCGTAATTCATGCAATTCGAGGGCAGGTGCCGTACGTGGCTGCAGCGAACGGAAGCGGAAGTCGAGCGTAACTTATCATCCGCGCAGGGTACATGCGTGCGTGCGGACGCGTTTCAACGCCACGCTTTATCGAACCTCGCGTGTCGACATTTGCGTTCCTTCTATTATTCTCTCTCTCCCTCTGGCCCAGCCTAATTAACACCGGAATTAAACGCCCGTTCGAAACGTATCGGGAATCATAATCGAATGCGAATTTATTCGTAGAATTTAAACAAATTCACCGGATTTAATCGATAACCGATGTATTCTAGACCATTTCACACGCGTTGTTCGGCTAATTTCAGACGCAAATTGACCCTTCGAGGATCAGTTTAGTTACTTGTAACGCTTATCCGTGTACGGCGCTGTATGTAGTACATATACAACGAGACGTTACTGTAAATTATATTATCTTTTTTTCGAACTATTTTATTATGAAAAAATTCAGTATGGCGGGTAGAATAAATGAATGTACGGTGGACAAATATGAACTACATTATATTAACCCAACCTAACCTCTAACCAAGATATTTTTCAAACATTTCCATTTTGAAAAATTCAGTATAACGGATAAAAAAAAGAGTTTGTGTTCCTTTTTAACCTGTTAACTGGGTTCACCACTCGAACAGAAATTAAATCTCTCTAGTTTATTAATGAAAAATGAACGAAAGTTATAATTAATTATTCTTCATTTTTGTTCTTGCAAATGTGAGATATGAGAGTACAGTTAAAGCTGAATAATCTCTCGATAGATAAACTATCGTGTTCTAAATATTTGTGAATAAAAATCTTCTACATTTAACAGGTTAAAAAAATTCGTTTACCTAGAGTAAGTAAATATAAAACGGACTAATGCCGGCTAAATAATATCACCTGTACCTAAAATATTTTTCAACCTATTTGTAGACTTGAATATTACAAGATTATCACGCACTTGCAATATTAATAATATTGTAAGATTATCTCAGTCTCGATCTAATCGTAGATCGAACGTCATAACCTCTCTGAATACCTTCCGTTGGTAAAAAAGATTCGAGTAAAAATGCTAGAAAATTTGTTTGCTCGGTGAAAGTAAGTAAACGTACGATGGACAAAATACGAACGTCGGTGTACGTACACGTAACCACAGCACTTAGAGGGTTAAACCTGACTATCGGATAACCAAATTCAAGAACTCCCCCCTTTGGAATCCTCCCAAGGAGCATAAAACCACGTCTTTAATTCGCTCTTGTAAACTCTCCAAGACGCCTCGTCGAATCTTACCCAACATTTTCAATAAAATCATTTCAGACTTTGGCCCATATCTTCTCTCTCTCGTCCCTTTCGTCCCCTTCGAATTGTATCCCCGAAACGATGATCGTTCGAACGAGAGGTGGCGCAGCGGTATTAACGCGAGATAAGTTTCTCCTCTTAGCATAAGAAGAAGTTTCCTCATTGTCTACCACGATTAATACTAATTCCTCCTAGCGATCGAGTCCGGTCGATCGGCGATAAATCCACGAAAACAATCACAGAGTACCGGGGAGAGACACTTGCGGCTGTTGGAAGATTTTAATTAACCCACTTGCGCGTTGCATAGACTTGCCGCCTCTAGGCTCGATTCATTTTTAACGAGCCTCGGCGGCGGCGGCGGCCGTTGCTGCTGCCTTGGTGTGAGGATTTCCGCGGCGTTCGGGAGAGGAGGAATTGAATCGAGCCCCGGCGACGTCTGCTCTTTGTTAGATATCATAATGTCCTATAATTTCATTATTTTCCCAGCCGTGACGTACCTGGTGAAATTTTGCACGGCACGGAAAACCGTCCGCCGCGCGTTCTTGGGTAACTTGTCTCCTCCTTCAATTAACCAAGGGAAATTAGGACGGTTACCTGCTTAGGATGTAAACAACAATGCGAGGCTACTAACGCTCCGCAACCGCGATTTTCTCTCTTACTCGTTTTATTTTTTTTTTTTTTTTTAAGTCGCGGAACAATTTTCCTCCTCTATATTTTTCCGCTGCGTCGTCGAGGACGCAGCTCGCGGTGTATTCTTTTTTCCTACCCGTTCCTTTTCGGCGCAATTACAGTAATTAACCGCAATCAGTTCGCTGTTCGCGCGAGGATCAAACGGATATACGAAGATTGGAACTGGTTCCTTTTTTTCTTTTCTTCTCTTTTTCCCCCTCCCTCGCTCTACGTCATCTCCGGCCACGTCGAGGAACTTTAGCGGAGCTTTAAAGGAGATAAAGAAGGATTTTCTTTTTTGTTTCGACGGCTATTTTTGGATAACTGAAGAATCGAGGATGAGACGAGGAGTGGTTTAATCACGTTTTTAAAGAGGGCATAATTGTCCGCTGTAATGCGTACGTATAGATTGTTTCTTCGTACTCGACATAATCCTCCGCTGGGCCGCCGTTAGAAAGAGAATTTTCTCGAGCATCGAAGAATTTCGCCAATCTTTTCTCTTCTCCTCGTTGTCGTGTACAAAGCAAATGTTACAGATAAAGCGATAAGTACCTTTGATCGTCTGGCAAAATTCTCTGTAACTAGAGCGATTCGTGTAGATTGCTAGTAAGTTGTACCACGTGAAATTAATAACTGACAATTGATATATATCTATATTTCTTGCATTTCTACTTGCAACATACCGGGTGTCGTAAATTGTTTTCGATGAAACTTCGTCGGTACGTTCTGTGGGTAAAAGTAAGAGAAAAGTGTTATATAAACGTAGGTGGTTTGAAGCTTCGTTAAGAAGTTACAGCGATAATACGAGATACGGGGGGAATGGTAACGAACTTATGGTTGTTATGACACAAGACGAGAATACCACCGGCAAAAGTTACACTTCACACCTTGAACAACCTCAGACGGTAAACACAGCTCGCGTAAACAGGCTAGATCTATTCCTATTGTGCGTCATAACCTCAAAATCCGTTACCATTTCCTTCCCATTTCGTATTATAACTTTTTAACGAAGCCTCAAACCACCTACGTTCACGTAACATTTTTTCCTCGCCTATAACCCTAGAATACACCGGCAAAGTTTGGCCGGCA